GACACACAGCCCCTCCTCTCTGGCGGGCTCCAGTTGTGCTTCCTCGCAGGTCCCCTGGGCGCCACTTCATTTTCTTCTGCCCGGTCCAGCACTGAGCCACCTCTCCCACTTCAAAAGCGGATTGTGCCAGGAAAGCTCATTAGGTGAGTCAGCCTAGGAGACGGATCCCAGTCCAGGTCGCCTGCAGCTGATGACAAGAGCAACCCGGGCCAAGGAGGCGATGCTGGAAATGTCACATCCAGAGCTGCCGCTCGTCCTCCCGGGACGGACAGGGCTGTTGCAGGGGTGACTCAACCTTGTCTCTCTTAGGACGATGAGAAACCCTGTGCGTGCAGGCGGAATTGTTGGGACACATGGGTCTCGGCTTACTAGCCTGTCATCTTGTCAGTCCTGAGCTCAGCCAGACTGCCTGGGGTTGTGCTTCAACTCCACCAGATCCTGTCTGTGCCTCGGTTTCCTCATCTGTAAAAAGGAGGTAGCAGCAGTGCCTACCTTGTTGGCTTGTTATAAGGACTGCACTGTTAATGTACATATCAATAGAGCATTCATTTTATTACTGAAGTGATTGTAGTAGTCTCCTCTTATCTCTAGTTTTACTTTCTTTCTTTCTTTTCTTTTTTCTTTTTTCTTTTTTTTGGTACCAGGAATTGAACATCCCCAGCTCTTTTCATTTTTTATTTAGAGACAGGGTCTCATGAAGTTGCTGACAGCCTCCTCGCTAAGTGGCTGAGGCTGCCTTTGAACTTGTGATTCTCCTGCCTCAACCTCCTGAGTCAGTGGGATCACAGGCAAGCACCACCACGTATGGCTCTGTAGTTTTACTTTCTGTGGTCAACTGTGATTTGAAAATATTGAATGACCAGTTGTAGAAACAAATAATGCATAAGCTTTATATTGCACGTTGTTCTGTGTAGTGTGATAAAAATCACGTCCCTTCCTGTTCCAAGCTTCCCTGGGTGAGAATCCTCCCTTTGTCCAGTGTATCCATGCTGTGTACACCACCTGCCTGTCACTTGGTAGCTGTCTCAGTTGCCGGACGTACTCTGTAGGTACTGCATGTAGTGCTTGTGTTCAGGTGACCCCCTTTTACTTAAGGATCCTCAGCACCAGGGTGGTGACTCTGGCAATCTGGACATGCCAAGCTGTGCAGTGCTGTAGATATGGGGTTCGCTACTGTCAGTGGTTTCAGGCATCGGCTGGGGGTCTTGGAATGCATCTCCCCTGGGTTGGGGGGGACTATTCTATTATTATTGTTATTATATTTATTTATTTATTTATTTATTATTTTTTTTTTTTAATATATTTATTTATTATATTGTTCTTGACTCTAAAGTATGGAACGAGGCCAAATACTCCAAACGGGTTTCTTGCCCTTCCTGTTCTGTTTTTGGGACACTCCTCGTGGATGGGTGGCCCTGGGCAAGGCCCGTCCCCTGTCTGGTCCTGGGTTCTCATCTTTTGATTGAGGTGCTGACGCTGCATCTCTGACAGCCTGGACCTATGAAATAAGCATCATGAGCGGCCAGGGCGGGGTCAGCTTGCTTTCTTGGCCTCTCCCGGGGATGTTGGAAGATGTTTTCTTTAAAAATTTACCCAGAATTTAATTAAATTCCCTGCCCTTTTTGGCTTATTATGAACAACTGTTTATTTCAGCTGAGATAAACTGTTAAGTCATCAAAATAACAGTTGATATCTGCAGTGGGCTTTTAAAGTCCCATTCACTCCATGTTTACCGGACACCTTCCTAAGCCTGGATCAACGTATTCTGTCATTATTACAACCTCCAGGAAGGACATTATTGTCCCTGTAATAGAGGAAACTGAGGTCAAAGAAATTAAGCAACTTGCCCAAGAACCCACAAACGGCAACTCCAGATTCAAATCAGAAACCCTGACTCTGGACTCTATAAACTTGGTCCCGTAAGTACTGGCCGTTGGCCTTGAATGTGACTTCTAACCCTATGATGGTGACCTGATATTAGGCCTTTCCTTTCAATAATTAAAACCTCAGAATCTCATCATTGGAAGACAACAGGGATGGCCAAGTGTCTTAGCTGGGTGGCTCACAGGACCCTGGGAGAAGCTGAAAGAAGTCCGGACCCTTTCCCAGCAAAACATTCACGTGACAGCCACATGGGCACATGCACACAGATGCGCCTCCATTTCAGGGGTTCAAATCATATCACCTAAATATGTACCTCAGACTGAGAAACTCAGGTAGTTCCTCGTTTTCTGATAAACATTCACTTTTGCTCGGCTTTTCCGGAGCCGAGAACCTCCCACCTGGAGAACCTGCGGACTCTGCTGAGTTCGCCTTTGATGGTTACAAAGTCGCTGCTTCAACTTGACTGACATTCCATGACTTTGGTTCCACTCTGCCCAGCAGATGTTCACACAGAATCAACCTCCTCTGTCTTCCTGCGACAACCCTTCATGTTTCTGAAGAGGTGGGTCACATGGTCTCTGGTCCTTCTAGGCATTAGCTGGTCCATTCTTCATAACTAGTTCATCCATGTCCCCCTCAAATGCCCAGAACTGGGAACAACTCAGAATGGAACCATCTTTGGCCGTGCACTGATCGGCCTAGTGGAGGGCTCTCCCTTTGTCCTGGGTCTCATACCTCCATGAACACATCTTTAAGAGTGGATTACGTTTTTAAAACTTTATCTTATTTTGAAATATAACAACTATGGAGAGGGGCACCCACAAAAAAAGGACAATTCAATAAAGCAAAACCAAACATCACATCACCACCACCTAAGTCAAGTCACAGAATATCCTCCACTTCCGCCTCATGTCAACGACCACCCTCTCTGCTCCAAACAGAACTTCAGTCTGACTTCTCTCTTTTTTTTTTTTTTTTTTTGAGGTGGTGGGGTAGGAACCCAGGACCTTGTGCATGCTAGGCAAGTGCTATACCCTTTAGCTACACGACCAGCCCTTCTTGTGCTTCTTAAAAGTTTTATCACCTAAATATGTACCTCAGTCAACACTATGATTTTTCTGGGTTTTGAATTTTATGTAAATAAAAGTATAGGAATGGGCTTTCTTTGGCCTCCAACTTACTTACTTCACTCATGGCGTGTTTGTAAGATCCATTCATGTCGTTACGTGTAGTTTAGTTCATGCAGTGCAGCTGTTGCTGAAAATATTCCATTTGTATAAGTGGACTATAATTTATATTTTCTGCTGTTAATGGGCATACAAGTTTTGGAAATTATAAACAAAGCTACTATAAATAAGTGCTTTTGTTCATACGTGGTTCATACATGTATATATTTAGGTTGGGCAAATCTGAAAGAATCCTGCACAACTTTAACTTAGCAGATAATCTTAAACTATCTTCCAAAGGAGTTGTACTAATTTATACTTTCACCAGGTGTGTATGTGTGTGTGTGTGTGTGTGTGTGTGTGTGTGTTCCAATTGTTCCATGTTTTCACCAACACTTAGCCTTATTAATCCTTCTAATCTTGGCTCTTCTGGTGGTTATATATGGCATCTCGCTGTGGTTTTATTTTGCATTTCCCTGGTGACCAATGAAGTCGAGTCCATTTCCATCTGTTGGCATTTGTCGATTAGAACTTTTGGCAACCCAATACCCGTCTGACTCACACAGACTGGGAGCCAAGTGAAACAAAGTCTCTGACCTAGGATGCTATTTAGTAATCTCTCTCCTATTGACTTCAGTTGGTTTCCAGAGCAGGTCCAGATATTCTCAATTATGATGATGGATAATGTTCATTCAGTGTTTCAGGCACTGAGCTGAGTGCTTGCCATGCATAATGTCCCTTGATCCTTGCAACCGGCTTATGAGGTCAATACTTTCATTATCTTCATCCTAAGAAGGAACTAAGGTTGGGGAGGCTCAGCAACTTATCTAAGCTCTCCCAACTTAACGGTAACTAGATTCAAATTAATGCCCTTAGTTGCTATGACATACTGTATATGAACAAATTTATGACTCTGAAAAGTTCTGCACTGAAAACTTTCTTTAACACAATTTTTCAAATCTATTTGACCAAAATAGATCTTAACCTCCTGAATCATTGCAATTTTTGGAATATACTATCGTCCCTTGGTATCTGTGCAGGATTGGTTCCAGGACCAGTTCTACAGAGACCCAGAATTCACAAATGCCCAATTCCCTTACACACTGGCACAGTATTGATATATAACCCGCGCGCATCCTCCTGGGTATTTTAAATCTAGATTACTTACAACACCTAAAAGGCTATAAAAATGCTGAGTACGGGATTGCTACACTATATCATCTAAGGAACGATGTCAAGAAAGCAGTCTGTATGTTGAGGACAGATGCATTTTTTTTTCCCCTGAACATTTCTCTGTGTTTGGTTGAGTTCATGAACATGGAACCCACGGACACTGAGGACTGACTGTATCTTGACACATGCTGAACCCTATAGTCCCCACGGCCTCCTCTGGATTTTAGTCTGGTAGAACTTTCACCGAAGGAAATTAAGTTAGCGTTGTCCAGGGATCTCAGCCTTGACACGATTGACATGGGGCTGCATCATTCTCCTGGGGGACTGTCTCATGCACTGCAGGTTGTTTAGCAGCGTCCGGGCTTCTACCTGTAGGGGCCAGTAGCATCCTATCCCCCCACCAAATTGTGGCATCTAACATTGCCTCCAGACATGGCCAACCTTCCCTGAGCAGCAGACCCCCAACTGCTGGTCTAAGCTGGCTTCTGAGTATGGTCTCCTGTGTTCCCGGTGATCACCTCTCACCTGTCTAAGCCGTCTCAAAACTGCCCGGCATGCCAATCTATTCACAGGGAACAAAGAAAGTGCCCGCCATCTCGCACGCCGTCTTGAGTCTGCAGGGAGAACTCGTTTCAAACCTGCTATTGGAATGAGACACCAGGAGGGGCCGGATGGCAACTCGCTGGAGGTCACAAATGCCCAGGGAGCAGAGGGCGGGCGACAAGTGCCCTGGGGAAGCTGGGGGTGTGTCCACGGTCAGCGACCTGCTTCACGTACCTTGCCCATTCCCGCGTGGGCGTGTCCCAGCTTGATCACCACCGGGAAGTGCGGGGCCGTGAGCTGAAAGAGGCAAGAAGAAATCACCTGTTAGCACCTCAGAACATGGTCACCTGGGCTGTGGGCACTTCCTGTTGTGAAGTCAGGATCACCCATCTGATGCTGCCCTGGGTCCCCACGGTCCTGCTTTGTGGGAGGTCATCCTGCCGCGGCTCATGCATCCCACCCACCCGCGCTTTTGGCTTCCAAAAGGGAGCTCTGAGCCCTTCAACCAGCCTGTCTGGGGCACCCTCAACCCACAGAGCCGAGAAGGTCCTTCATGTGGCTCCTGTGCCTTTGAGGTGGGTCGTTGATTTCTGGAAGATCTATTTTGGGTTGCTTGAGGGCAAAGTCCCCACACCCCGTTGTGTCATGATAATGCCACTCCCTTCCATTTAGATGACTTCCAGCCAGGGGTCATCACGACCCACGCTCTGGGCTGCACAGATGTTCCGATGCCTGTCACTGGACTGTCCCCTGGCAGATCTGTGTGTCCTGTCACACCAGGGCACCGAGGAACCCAGCTTTCCCTCGGGGTGGCTAGTGCCCGGTCTCTCATGTCGTGGCTGCTGTCACTGCTGCAGGAGTGTCCCTATAGGTCACGAAGCCATCTGGACCTCATCCTTCCATTCCCACAGCGGCCCCGGATGCAATCGGGCAGGCAGCTTGTTATCACTTTACAGACAGGGAAACCGAGACTCAGCTCGGCAGCTGGGAGGGGTGAGCTGAGAACTTGAACTTGACCCTGCTGGACTCCACACTTGGGGTGAACAAGCTTCCTGTGGTGGACTCCAGTAATCCCCTCCCCCACACCAGGCTACGGGTCTCACCACACCCTGGTGCCGAGAGCAACACATGCATTAAGGAAGCAATATTTGATTTTGATTCCAAAAGCAATAGGCACAAACCAAGAAATTGGGAAAGTAGAATAAAGTGGTACGTTTAAAGAAGATTATGACGATCGCCCTCAGACTTCCAACGGTTTCAGTGTATTATATGTTGGTCTTTTTTTAAAAAAAATCCCATGATGTGTTTTTCTTTTGATTTGTTCTGTTTTTACAAAATTGGGAGTGTAGCGCCTATCCAGTTTTATTTCCTGTTCTTTCCACCTGATATTATGTGGGAGAGTGTCGCCGGCCATTATTTGTTGGTTTAATAGGTGTTAGGAAATGCTTCACCTATGAGAAAGCCTCCGTGAACCCTGTTGTGGGCAGCACCTTGCTTAAGAAATGAAACAGAGAGGAAGCCTCCGCTCTCATTCTTTCTATCACTCTCTCCCCTCCCGTCCCACAGGTAGCCCACATGTGAATTCTGTGTTTATTAGTCTCTGGCATTTATTCATGATTTTCCTATTATACATACGTCCCAAGCCATGGGTCACACGTTTTTTTAAGCTTCGTGTCAGCGGTACCCAAGATTCGATTGCATGTCTGTTCCCACATGCTTGTGGGATTCACGTGCGTTCATAATGTAACTTGGACTCATTTCCCTGCTGCATGGTACTCCATTCCTTGGATACGTTACCATTGACGCATTTTCTGCTGATGAACATTTAAGTGATTTCTGTTTTTCCAGTTACAAACAAGACCACTGCAAACCCTCTTGAGTAGGACCTCTTCTAAGCACGTCGGGTGTTTCTCTGGGGCACATCCACAGGGAAAGAATTGCTGGGTTTGGGGAACGCTTGTCTCCACGGGGCTGGATATTGCCAGATTGCTCTGCAAAACGGTTGTACCGACTTAGGCTCTAAAGGGCAGAGAGGGAGGGAAGTCCCACTAGTGGGGGTTCAAAGTCTCAATCTGACCCATGTCATCAGTGTGAGAGGCCGAACCCAGGGGTGTATTTTTATCTCGGGGCTTTTGTTCCCCAGTCATCCATGGAGACTTTAAGCACCCCCGGGAGTCCAAGGACTTGGGATTTCACTCATCTCACTTTAAGGGGGGGCTCGAGGTGGAGGGGAAATGGGTGTTCTGGACACTGCTGCATTGGAAAGGGCAGTGATATCGGTGTGCCAGAAGCCCTGCCATTTGCTCTCCGTTTAACCTTGGGCTGGCTATTCACCCTCTCTGAACCTCAGTTTTCTGACCTGCAAAATGGGGCGGGTAATGCCCAAGTCCCAGGATTGTTGGGAGGAGAGACAAGGAATGTGAGATGTCAGCTCCCGATGACGATGACGCTAACCTGGCATGTGAAGAGGGGGGCAGGGAGGAGATACCGTGGGGCGGTGGGAAGGGGCAGGGAGACCGGATAATGGAGGAAGGAGAGCGGAGATTGCAGCCTCACAACCTCTGATAACACTGGAGGGAATGAACCGAGGTCACAACCAGAAAAATCAGAAGCTCCCACCAGAAGGAGCGGCCGAGGCGAAGACCGTGGGTCTGGGCAGGGGGTGGGCATGGTGGATAGGGTGGGCCGCTCAACGAGGTTTCCTTTCTTTCTTTCTTTGGTAGCAGGGAATGAACGCAGGGGCACTCCACCTCTGAGCCACATCCCCAGCCTGATTTCGTATTTTTTTTAGAGACAGGGTCTCACTGAGTGGTTCAGTGCCTCCCCGTTCCTGAGGCTGGTTTTGAACTTGCGATCCTCCTGCCTCAGCCTGCTGAGCTGCTGGGATTATAGGCGTGCGCCCCCATTCCTAGCTAAGTTTTCTTTTTTTTAAGTGACGCTTTTGAATTGAATGATAATGTTAAAAGGGTTATGAAAATGAGAGACGAGATGGTCACAGCCCCATCATTTAATCAAATCAGTATGTATGGGTCCACGCTGTTTTATTGTCCTCATTTTTATGCCCAATTAGAAAATCCAGGACAGTCTACGGTATTAGAGAGAGGATTTTACATCCACCTCGTCACTTAATAGTATACCATCAGTGTTTTCCTATTTTTGCTGCAGACATATTTCTCAGCTCTCCTCCCCGCAGCCCCAGGTCACTAATCTTGCTTGTTTGGGCATCTGACGTCCACCCCCCCATGATCACCTGCTCCCTCTTGGCAAAAGTGGCCACATGGGTGGTTGAGTGTGATTTTTTTTTTTAAATAGCTCTCAAATCACATGGGGCACAACCCTCTTCCTAGTTCACAGGAGACGTCCTAACCCCACAGTTTTATGACTGCGT